ATGCGAGCCACGTATCTTTCTGTCAACGATGAGCATATAAGACCTTACGGCAACGAATTCCCAGCCTAATGCGTGCTCTCCCTGAGCAACTTACAAGAGATGAAAACATGAACAGCGTTTCTGCAACGGAAACCAAAGGCAACTGGAAAGCGCATGAAACAAAAAGGCCTCTTGCTGGAGAAGAGAAGGGACAGGAGCCAACAGGAGAGATCTGGAGCTGGTTCTGGCTGAAGGACAAATTGCAGATCAAAAGCTGATGGTTGCTGGAAGCCCAGAGCATGTTCCATGTGCTCTGCAGATCCCTCCTGTATCATCTGGCAGCTTTTGCTCACATTTAGTCTTCCTCTCTGAAGTGCACGTGAGACGGTGCCCACAGCCTCTGTTCTCCAAACTAACTTCCCTCATGCCCTTTGCTTGAAACATGGTTTCCCTCTCTCCATCCATCCATCCCCAGCGTGGAGCAGGGATTCCAGCTGGCTTGTGATGCAACAGGCTAGGTGCTGCCACCTCTCTGCCTCCCCCGCCTGGTGCCAATTTGAAGATGGAAGCAGCTTTGTGCATAGGGGTGGGTTCCTCTTTGCTTCCTATTTGCACCAACTTGGGGTTATTTTAAGTCATTGGAGGGCCTTTGGAGGGCTTCCTTTTATAACTAGTGAAGGTGTGAATAACAAGACCAGTACACTGTCCAAATACACAAAACACAGGCACATCCACTGTTCAGTATCGCGCACAACCACGTTGCAAAGTGGGGAGATGCTCCTCACTCCTGCAGCAATGCAATACCAACCACTAGTGATTCCAGCTTTCTTTTGAGGGTCCCCGCAGGTGGGCTTTTCACCCTGGCACCCTGTGACGGCATCCTCCCCACACTGTCTGTAGCACCTGTTTGGTATGTACGGTACCAGACGAACACACACTTCCCCTCACCTGTCTTGCAGTCCCTTTGCTACTGGAATAAGCCAGGATGGTCTCAGGTATTAGAGAGTTCACAATAAGTAGAATAATTTGTCCTTGTATAATTTTTTGCTGGTATCTTCTTTCCACCAGTGGTTTTATCGACTATCCAAAGAACAGACATACACAGCACACTTTTTGCCTTTTTTAGAAGGGTTTTTTGGTTTTGCATGGTTTTTATATAAAAATCTTTTGCAGGTCTTGTAACTTTTTTTGGCACTGATTTTTGTTCCTAGGGGCTGGCTAAGAAAAAACAATTATTTTTTAGAAAATATTTTAATCCAAACCCGAGATAATTTTAAGACTCGTGTGAGAGGCTGCATCTCCTTTTCTCCTGCCACTCAGCGTGGAGGATGGCAGCCACTTTTGTCCCATCGTGTGGTGGGAAGTGGCAGCTCTGCGATTCTGTCCCCACAGCCATTGAAATGGTGTTAGCAGCAAGCGGTTGGTGGCACTTCTTTTAATTCTGAGCAGTGTGGACGTTGCTGAGCTACATAGTGCTATAGACTAAACCCAACAGAGGGTTCTCAAGGAAACTCCCCTGTTCACACTGATCAGGAAACCCTGTTAGCTACAATAGTCTTCTAACACAGCTGTTGCCAACACTATTTTCTCTCATACTGTAGACAGGACCTCAGTTACCTCCTCTCCCTTCCATAATCAAAGAAAGTACAGGTTCACCCTTTGCCATCCTCCTCCCGTCTCCTTTGGGACAGGAGAGAATACCTAGTCAGCAGTGGTGGGTGAGAACTGATTTCTGGATTCAGAGGATTAAAAGACCCAGATGGAAAGAAAGAGATTTTCTACCCACTTGATCCTTCTGGGTCCATGCTCTTACCATGGTTAAATACAGCTCTAGCATAAGCATTTTAGCTCCATTTGAAATCAGTGAGGTTGCATCTGCTTGCACCAGAACTGAATTTGAACCATGGTTCCTCCTAAATTGTGGAGCTGCACCCCTTACAAGACTACGCTCTCAAACAGGGAGAAAAGCCAGCCTGCAGCCATCACCTCAGAACAGAGCAATTGGTCCAGGGTTTGTTCTCCCCAAGCACAAAAAAACCAGAGAAACTCAACCCTGGATCATGCCGGGTTGGTTGGATGGCATTGGCCCAGCCTGCCCTGCTGACGCTGAACTATCCTTCCACACCCATTTTTGCTCTTCTTAGCCTAACGCTGTGGTTGCGATGCTAAAACTGAACAGGCTCCTCCTTCTCCTTCTCAACTGTGCGGAGCGGCCCTCCCAGGCATGCAGACACCTCGTGGAGGTTGTATTGCCTGTGTCTTTTAAATATAACTGTACATATCACACACCATAATATTGTTTGTACGTCCATGTTACACGTGACTAGTGCTAGGGTATGGTTGAAAATCTTAATTTTTGCTTTTAATGTTTCAGTGTAACAGTACTGGTAGAAGAGCTGTTTTTAAACGCATGTGAATTAACCTCATTCTGGGCTCCTTGGAGGAACTCGGAGTCCTGCTTGATTTGTATGTACCCTCCAGGAAGGAGACAATAAAAAGTTGGACTAAACATTCATCTCCTTTTGATCCTTATGAGGACAAGATAGTATCTGCCAGTGTCTTTGTTGGCTTACATAGATGAGGCTTCAGTCCATTCCAGCCTGGTCTCCAGAGCTGGGCACACTCTTTGCAGCCAACAGTGAACTGCAGGAACAGTTTGCTGCAAATGCTGAATTGAGTATTTTATCTCCGCAGTCCAAGATGTCTTTTGATTGGGCACAGGTCACGTGATATCACTTCCATTCCCTGACGGAATGAGTGTAATTTATAATCAGGTTTCTGCTGCAAATGCTCACAATTATGTGTGGATTATTCAAATGTTGAGGTGCCCTAGTCCTACAGTGCTAGTCAAACCTACATAGATCTGTGGATTTGAACTTGGTATTCTGCCAATAGACTACAATATTCACTTCATAGTTTGCCTTTGCTGCAGATATTCACGACAGCAAACGGATTTGCTAGAATGTTTACAAGGAGCATAAATGCAGTTAAACAAAAGTTGTTTAAAAAGTCTCTGGAATGTGCGTGTTTTTTTTCCCCCCCAGTACTTGCCTAGCTTTAATTGTTTAATTTCAGAGCATGAGAAAGTTCTTCCAGATACAAGGATGCTAGGGCCCAGCTATTTGACATAGAGAGCAGTGCCACCTTATGGTATAACTTGTTTGTGCAATACAATAGAACACCAGAGTTACAAACACCTCGGGAATGGAGATTGCTCGTAACTCTGAAACGTTCGTAACTGAACAAAAAGTTAGATTTCTTGCAAAAGTTTACAAATGAACGTTGACTTAATACAGCTTTGAAACTTTACTATGCAGAAGAAAAATGCTGCTTTCCCTTTATTTTTTAATAGTTTACGTTTAACACAGTACTGTACTGTATTTGATTTTATTTTTTTCCCTCTCTGCTGCTACCTGATTGTGTACTTCTGGTTCCCAATGAGGTGTGTGGGTGATTGGTCAGTTCGTAACACTGGTGTTCGTAACTCTGAGGTTCTTCTGTAGATGGATACCGCACAACGTATTTAATTTGCATTAAATTAAAAACACCCAGGTCACACTCCAACATCTCAACTGCAGTTAGTGTCCTCTAACTCATGTTCAGAACCCACTTGAGCATTGCAGATGTTTAGTTTTTAAATTGTATTAGACAAATGCCAGCATCTGAGGATATTAATCTAGGTTTTTAAGACTGAAATGGCACCATGTGTGTCACGGTTATTACCAATGCTGGTTTTTATGGCTAGGATATCAAATTTTGGTTTTATTGCTGCTAACAAGGATGGCAGTAAAAGCTCCAGAATGTGGGATCCAGGGAGCAGTTTACAGCACAGGTAAGTGCGGTGCCTCGACTGTGACCTAGGTGTCTGAAGACAGCTCAGTCGCTCTGGCCCATTTTGTTCTTGACCTATCTGCTGGACACACCAGCAGGCCTGGCTATCACAATGGCTGGTTTTGTGAGGTAATGTTAAATGGGCAGCTCTAAACAGAGGCTATCAGGGCTGTGCCTTTCATAGGAATTCCCCTACAGCGTCTAACCCATAGTCAATGGGCCTCATTATCTTCTCTGACAGTGGCCAGCACCAGATCCTTTAGAGGAAGGTGCAAGAAACCCCATAAGATGCAGTTGAGATAATCTTCTTGTTAAGGAGGTCTCCTCCTCACATCTTACCAAGATTGGCCTAAGTCCGGAAGCAAAAAAAATTCTCATTCCTTTGAAAACTTTTTAGCATTGGAACTCTGGATATTTGTTATTGATATAAATGTCCAGTTCCTCCATGAATGCTGCTAAATTGTTGGCTTCCATGCCCTGTGTCAGGGTGGTCCACAGTCTAACTTTGCATTATTTATTTCCTTTCTGCATGAGGGGCAGCTTGGCCATCCGCTGTTAACATCTGATCATTCCTGACCGGGGCCAGCTCTGTACGGGTGGTCACCTGGGGGAAGGTTCTATATCCCCCAATACCGCACAATTTTGAAAAACAGGATTAAAAAACTTTGACACTGAATATTCAGGGCTGGAGGAATTTCTGCTCTTTCCCCTGCACCCCCCAAAAAAGGGGGGCATGGCCCATTGTGGAAGTACGGGGAAGATGTTTTGTCTGAATTCTTGGGGGCAAGGCCCATTGCTCCTTCAGCTGCTAAAAGCTATTTTAGCCCCAGCCCTGCTGCCAGGCGCCTTGACTGTCCGCTCCTACGAAGGGTCGCGGTAGAGTTCAGCGTCCCCCATCATCTTCCCCCGGGGCTGTCCCCGGGCTCTCTCAGGGCCCCAGGCTTTCGCTCGGTCCAAAGCTGCACCGGCCCCGTCCGCTTCTAGCCCCCAGGCCCCGCTTTCCGGCCCGCACAGGCAGGGCTGGGCCGGGAGCCGGGCCAGGGCCGCGTGTCCCCAGGGGGCGAGGACAGACCGGGGGGGGCACTGCGGGGGGGGGGCAGGCCCCGCCCCCTCACGGAACAGCCCCGCCCCCAGCAGGGCGGTGGCGGCCCCCGGCCCGTCACGTGACTGCTCCGCTTCCGGGCCCCGCGGGCGTTGCTGGGCAACGGGGACACGCCGCCCGCGGCTGCAGGGAGCCGGGCCCGGAGCGGATCTGCCCCCCCCCCCCCCCCCGGCCGGGTAAGGGCGGGGGGCGGATGCGGCTCGGCCCCTCTCCCCCCCCCCCCCAGGTCTGCCCCCAGGCGGTACCTTGGCAGCCCGGCCCCCCCTGCCACGGGGCGCCCCTCGTGCAGCGCCTGGCGCCGCCGGCACCCGCAGGCCGTAGGGCTCCGCGGGGCAGCGTGTGGGGCCCAGGGCGCAGAGCGGGGCCGCAGCCAGGACTCCTGGGTTCGCTCTGCTGGGAGCCATGTGTGGGGCCAGCAGCCAGGACTCCTGGGTTCGCTCTGAGCCGTGCGCGGGGCCGCAGCCAGGACTCCTGGGTTCGTTCTGCTAGGAGCCATGTGTGGGGCCAGTAGCCAGGACTCCTGGGTTCCCTTTGCTGGGAGCCATGTGTGGGGCCCAGGACGCAGAGCGGGGCCAGCAGCCAGGACTCCTGGGTTCTCTCTGCTAGGAGCCATGTGTGGGGCCAGGGTGCAGAGTGGGGCCAGCAGCCAGGACTCCTGGGTTCCCTCTGCTAGGAGCCATGTGTGGGGCCAGGGTGCAGAGTGGGGCCAGCAGCCAGGACTCCTGGGTTCCCTCTCCTGGGAGCCATGTGTGGGGCCAGCAGCCAGGACTCCTGGGTTCCCTCTGCTAGGAACCATGTGTGGGGCCAGCAGCCAGGACTCCTGGGTTCCCTCTCCTGGGAGCCATGTGTGGGTGGGGCCAGCAGCCAGGACTCCTGGGTTCGCTCTGCTAGGAACCATGTGTGGGGCCAGCAGCCAGGACTCCTGGGTTCTCTCTGCTAGGAGCCATGTGTGGGGCCCAGGACGCAGAGCGGGGCCAGTAGTCAGGACTCCTGGGTTCGCTCTGAGCCGTGCGTGGGGCCGAGGGCACAGAGCTGGGCCTGGCAGCCAGGACTCCTGGGTTCGCTCTGCTAGGAGCCGTGTGTGGGGCTGAGGGTGCAGAGGTTCGTACTGCTTTAACTGTATTGGTTTGAAATTGTATCGTTAAGGAGGTCTGACCCTCTAGCATGGACACAGTGTAAAGGTACTTGCCTCAGTTTATTCCATTAAACACTCCTGTAATAATAATTAGAGGAATAAGCTGTACCGGCATAAGGCACATTTATACTCCTATAACTGCATCCATGCTAGGGGTGAATGGTTTTTACTATTTCAATAAAAAAAACCACTCACTCCCAACTGAAATAGTTAAACCGGTACAAAAACTGTGTAGACCAGGGGTTGCTCTTTAAGGGCCAAGGTCCCCATCTCCTGAATGTGCAATCATAGGTCAAAGGAAATGGTAGGAAAGCCTGTTGCATGCTAGATCCATTTAAGAAATTAGGGATACACTTACAAAACAGAGCGATAGAAATCAGAGAGGAAAGGCCCACCGGATCATCCAGTCCAGAATTGTTCCCTAATTTAAACTCTCATTTCTAAACACAGAGTGTAATCCCTTGGGGTAGGGACTACATCTTTCTGTGTCCCCCAGGAAGCATCTGCTGTGCAACACAGCAGTGAAACAGTAAGTTTGAAGCAGTGCAAAGGTGCAATGTTTCCTTCTCCCTCACCTCAGCAGGCACCATGGAGATCGTCTATGTGTATGTGAAGAAGCGCAGCGAGTTTGGCCGACAATGCAACTTCTCTGACCGGCTGGGCGAGACCAACGTGGACATCCAGCCAGACCCGAGCCAAGCTTCAAACTTCATAGAGCGGGACCCCATTGACGCTGCAATACAGTGTGCCAGTGATATGTCAGAGCATGAGGTAGAGTGGGAGCAAACAGAGCTCTCTTTTAATGAATACTTGCTTGCAAGGCTTCCTCTGACAGGATAAGAGGGATGTGTCCCTTAATGGGGTTGCAGAGTTGGGTATGCTCAACAATGCAAGGTAGCCTTAGTCAGTGATAAACTGGAGATCTTCTGGGACCCCATTTGTAGGAGGAGGATATAGGTATCAAGATCTCCCCTGGAAGAAATTTAGTGATGCTTCTGGTGTAATAATTGGGCGGTATTCAGAGAAGTTTGCAATGATGTTATCTCAGGGTTCTCACCCATCCTAAAATTCACAAGATGGAGCCAATATTTTCATTGCTGTCTCCTGCAGGACAGTTAAGAGCTCTGAGTTTGTCTCGTGGTTAAAGCAGGAGACAGGGTTCTGTTGGTTCTGATTCACTGTATGGCCTTGGCAGCTCTAAGATGTTAAGACCTAAAGTGGATTTGATCTTAGCTACCTCACAGGAAACAAGTTGTGAGGCTCCATGGATGTTTGTAGCGTGGCTTGAGATCCTCTGAGGAGAACCTCCACCATAGCAGGAAAGAGACTTGTGTGTTGCAAACCTGGAATGCCATGAGAAAAGGGTGGTGGTTGGAGGGTTCTCACTTCTCTGCAGTCAGTGATGGTTAATAAAACGATTTATGAATGATTTCCTAAGAGCTCCCAGAGCCGGACTGATCCTTTGCAAAGCCAATCTGCTCCGCTTGGGTGAGAGATGAGAAGCTACTTTGGGTTTGAACTGTGGAGAAGTAGCCAATAATTCTTCATTCCAGTGCTGGCCCCTGTTTGCAATCACATTGTTGGAAACCCCTTTTTTCCAGTGTGGGGAGTAATAAAAGTAACAACTTTGTTAGTCCAATTTGTTAACATTCCCAGATGAGCTCTCTGCCTTCCTTGTAATTTGCCCAGTATAAACAATAAGGGATTCCTCAGTTATGAGGTGTAATGCTACATGATCCCACTGCACTCCAGTAGATGGAAGTTGAGTGGGGTGCTACGGACATTTGGTGAAGTGATTGTCCATAATTCCATTGTTAGCCACAGAGGGGACTACGAGCTCAACACTTGGTTATGGCCAGAAAAGTGACTGTAATGCTGGCAGCTTCTCACCATCTGTGTGAGTGTGTGTTCAGGTCAGATCTGCTGATGGCACTGACGAAAATAGTGTCTACTCCCCTTTGCCCCGCAGGAGCAGTGCAGCCGGAGAGGAGTGTGCAGGGTTCTAATCTGCCTTGTGCATCAGCAACTGAACAGCCTGTTCTATTCTGGCTGCTGGCTGTTTAGTCTTGGTGGTGGCGTAGGAGCCAGAGAGAGGAGTTTTGAAAACCCAGGTGGAGTTTGCAGCACTGACAAAGCCAGGGAAATTGGTAGTCTGAGCACTGGAATCAGTTCCAGATCTGGAATCAGTGAGGGAGTAAATGCTAGGCCCCACAAAGTCAGCTCATGGAGCAGCTTTAAAAACCAAGCCCATCAGCTTTGTATCTTGCTTCCCTCTTGCTTTGTGTAACACTTCAGGTCAACACGGAGAGATTTGAGATGGAAAATCAGGGGGTTAACCACTTGGAAGGAGGGTGGCCAAAAGACGTCAACCCCCTGGAGATGGAGCAGACCATTCGGTTCCGGAAGAAAGTGGAGAAAGATGAGAACTATGTGTACACCATCATACAGCTCGGCAGTGTAAGGCCACTGTCCCATCCCTTTACTCTCCCCTCTCCTTTATTGCCCCTCTGCCTGTCTGCGTGTGTTACAGTTCCCTTTCCCATCATGCTCTGCTTGCTGCCTGCCTTCCCAAGCCAGTAGGTTCCCCAAATGTCACATCACGGCTTATTTGCATGACTTGTTTCACAGCTGATGGAACATTGCATCAAACAGAACAATGCGATTAATATCTACGAGGAGTACTTTGAAGATGAGGAGACAGCAGACGTAGCAGATGAGCCTCCGTCTGCAAAAACTATCAGTGTCTTCAGGTATTGGCAGCCAGGAGGTGCTGCGCTGTGTTCTAAGCATTCACTGTTCTGTTCCAGTCCATACTGTCCATTGGGCCAGCTGAGACGGCTACTTCAGTTAAGCCTGCTCTGCTAAGCTGCATCTTCTGACAGGAGCAGGCATTACTGAAGCAGCCATCACAGCAGATCCTAGCAGCAGTCCATCTCAACCAGAATTAACTGCAGGACATCCCAGCTATATGAATGGAAGGCTGGAGCTATAGCCTTTCCTCTGGTAGAGACAGTCTCTCTCTGCACTCCAACCAACCCTGTCAATTTCAACCTTGGCTCAGAAAGAGATGTTTCAGAGTAGCAGCCAAGTTAGTCTGTATCCGCACAAAGAAAAGGAGTGCTTGTGGCATCTTAGAGACTAACAAATTTATTTGAGCATAAGCTTTCGAGAGTAATATATAAATATAGATGCTCCTTTAGGTATTTCCAAATAATTCTTCTGGGAGAGCTTATTCCCCCACCTCACTGATTATTTGTTCCGATCTCTGAAAGCAGACTGTTTTTCCTTCACTGTGTTTTGAGCAGTAATTAACACGTCCTTCAAAAAACAGTCAAATAATGTTCATATGGGGAGAATCTAATGGACTTGGGGTATTATGGGGCTCTTTTTAGTTAGTGCACTTCAGTGAGTACCCCAGGTTTTAATATCTTTTGTACCACACAGTGTCAAAGGAATCTTCCTTCTTTGGTTTCTCAAAGATTTTTTTCAGTGTAGGGGCCTGTGTAGTAACTTTTAAAAGTTAGATCCTGGAATGTAATTGAATTTCTATAAATTTCTAACAGGAAAGGTTTATTAGCTTATCTAGGTCTTCCTTTCACAACCCAATGCAGGATTGTTTCCTGTAATCAATACTCAAGGGTTTTAAACTTTCTAATTGAGATTCCCGCCACTTCCTTTGAGAGACTATTGCATAGCCTGGAGCATGACAAAATTGTTAGTAAGTTAATGCCATTGTTTTATTATCAAAAAGGGATCCAAATTTAATCAAAAGGACAGCCACGCATCTCTCCTGGCACCCAGATGGAAGCAAGAAACTGGCAGTAGCTTATTCCAGCTTGGAGTTCCAGCGAAGTTCTAAAGATATGAGCTATGAGTCATACATATGGGATCTTGGTAAGAAGGAAAAATGCTAGAGTCAATAATGCTTGGTCCTTAACTAACACGGTCCTTAATGTCTAGTAAGTGCTCTGAAGGTATTAACTAACTAATCCTCACAATACCCCCCGGGAGAGTAGAAAGAGGAGGTAGACTCCAGTTTTACACATGGGGGAATGAGAATAGGGGTTTAAGGTATCTGAAACCTGACCAAAATATGGAAAACCACCTGTAAAGACTCTCTCTCTCTGCAGGGCCAGATTTACACCTCACGTGTCACTAGGCACAGCATCTTCAGCGCCCCCACTGCCTACAGCTGACCTTTGTGTTTTTCGTAAAAAATTTAAATGAAAAGAAATATAAACACAGCCTCCTTGGGAAGGCATGAGACCCTCCACCATGCATGGTGATCCCAGCCTGAGCCGGGGCACAGACCACCTGCCCAGGCGAGGCGCAAAGGGAGGGGACTGTACCTCTCCCCACAGTGAGCAGTCCCCGGGTATCTTCTGTCCCTCCCACAGCCTGGCGTGGCAGCCACACTCCGGCTCTGCCTGTGTAAATAAATAGGGCATTGGCCATGCCCCTCCCTCTCCCTCACCGGCATGGGGCGGAGGCAGCAGGGTGGCCGAGATTGGGAAGGGGCTGGGATGCTCCCAGTCAGCACCTTCAGCAGCCACCAAGGCGGGCTGACTTGGACGCTTACCCTGCTCCAGCCCCACATGCTGGGCGGCCACCAACCCATGCCAGGAGCCCGGCTCCCCTCAGGGGAGCTGTATGTGTTAACTTTTAACCCACTTTTAACTTTTAGGCGCCCCAGGCACGGGCCTACTGCACCTAATTGGAAATCCGGCCCTGACTCTCTGGCTTCCCAAGATAGAGCCCTTCTAGCTTTTTCCAGCAAGCTCAGTTACATTTTCCAGACAGATTGGATTGTTGAAGTAGCTTAATTGCCCATTCTGTTAAAAAGCAAGAAGCAACATGCCCTGGGCTGGGAAAATCATCTTGCTGAGGAACTTCCCAGGTGTATAGAACTTCAATGCGGTGTGTGAGAGAGATGTGGACATTAGAAGCAGGACTGAGTCCACCATTGAAAAACAAAAGGATGACAAGCAAAAGGGGCCGTGGAGTGTGAGGAGTGGACACCTCTTCCTCCCCCCGTCATTTCACATGCCCTCCCAAAGTGAACAGACCTTTCACAGCCACAGGGGGCTGCAACCACAGTCGGAAAGATGCAAGATCTGGAGACATTCCTTCTTCTCCCAGCTGTCTGTCTAGTGACTTTCATTCCCAGCAGCTCGGAGCCGCTCAGTAATGGTCCCATCTGCTTTTCCCCCCTTTAGAATCAAGGTGCTAAATGGGAAAAGAGTCATGCAGAATGGAGGCAGAAAGCGCGCACCCAGTGCAACATGCCTTGTCTTTCTGTCCCAAGCCATGGCATGGCTCATATTCTGTTTGGAGGGAGACGACGAGGTGCATTTTTATCTGAGGCAGGGAGAAGAGTTGCTGGGCTATTTTAGGCACAGAACTGGAAGTCAGGATTCCTGGGTTCTCTTCCTGGCTGTTGTGATACCCTGGGCAAGTCATTTCCTCTCTCCACCTCCACCTGTAAAATGGAGAGAATACTTGTAAAGTGATTTTGGGTGAAGAGTGCGACATCGGTGCTAGAGATTACTCTGGATTAGTACATTGTAGTAACGGTTTCTACCCTGCCTCTCGCTAGCACTGAGTTCCTAACCCAGCATTGATGCTGGGATGTGTCTTCATCCCAGCATCTGTCAAAAACAGACCGTTGGGCTAGATGCTGGAAAGACATGGGTTCTGGAGGTCACTGCTTAGTGTCCAGCCGTCCTGAGCTGAATTAGTTGGAAATGTTGTTTTCCTTTTGGGCTTCGCTCAAACTTTACTTGTTTGTTTTGTCCCTTCCTGGTAGAAAATCCTAACAAACCAGAACTGGTTCTCAGGCCATCATCCCCGCTCGTGTGTCTGGAATACAACCCCAAGGACACTCACATCCTGGTTGGAGGATGCTATAATGGACAGATCGGTAAGGGACATGGATTGTATGTAAAGCAACGCTACCAGGGGAACTGCTTAATTTTAATTCTGCACTAGCCTTGCTCCAGTGCTCATCTGCACAAATAATGAGGAGTCCTTGTGGCACCTTAGAGACTAACACATTTATTTGGGCATAAGCTTTCGTGGGTTAGAACCCACTTCATCAGATGCATGGAGTGAAAATACAGGAGCAGGTATAAATACATGACGGGATAGGGGTTGCTTTACCAACTGTGAGGTCAGTCTAACGAGATAAATCAATTAACAGCAGGATACCAAGGGAGGATACAGACTAACACGGCTACCACTCTGAAATCTGCACAAAGACTCTTTCGTGTCATTAGCTCCAAGGCCTGGAATACCGAATTGGAATCAGAGCCTTAGGGCTGCCATGACTGATGAGATAACACACGCTCACCTGATTAGGCAGCAGGTGGTGGCCGTGTAGGCTATGTGGCTAGATAATTCACTGTGACGTGATAGTGTTCCGGGGGAAGCCCATTCTGTCAGTGGCGGAGGTAGGTCATCCTGGACAAAGAGGCTGTGTTATTTCCTAGAAGAAAGGTGGTCATTTCATTTGTTTAGCCCTCAAAACATGTCAGGCCCTTTCCAGATGGGAAACAGACACAGATGTAGCTGGTGGAATGCTTTGAATTACTGAGTAACTTGAGTGCTAGTGAAATCAGCAGTCCCTGGAGACCGGAGGCTCGTGCTTATCCATAAAACAGGTACAGCCCAAACAGTGGCGGTAAGAGCTTCCTGTGCCCTCTACACGCACTGCCTGGCACCAGTGAGACTCAGCTCCGTTCTGTAGAACGGTCAGGTGGGTCTCTGTGTCCACCCAGTCTGCCCATGTGCGCTTGTCCCTTCCTGCCTCTCGCCTGCGGGAATCAATGCAGCGGGGACTGCGGGGGGAGAGATGTGGACATTAGAAGCAGGACTGAGTCCCAACATCCATCACCATTTTATTTATTGTCAACAGTAGCCCAGATACGGCCCATTCACCTAACGGGGGGACCTGCCCCCTGCCCTGGGGGATCTGCTGCGCTCAACTAGCTGCCATCGCCAACACAAATGTTCTCTCTGGAGATGCCCTGGGAATGTCCTTGCTCACCAGGGCGTCCTCCCCGTGGCATGGCTGTAGATGCACCATGTCACCAAGCAGGCTAGGGCTGAGGACAGGAGGCTGCTGTTATAGATCCCACGCGCTGCACAGAACACTGTGTAGCGGGTAGCTGCTGGTGATACCTGCTATTGCTCGCTTCCCCACTAATGTGCCTCGGGAAGTGAGCAGTGGCATTAGAAAAGCTCGGAATAATTGCCTTCATTTCATTTGTAGAATAATTTTTGTTCCCTTGTTTTAAACATTAAAAGAGGCCCCCGTCTTTGCCAGATCCATGTAAGATTCTATTATTTATTCAGCCACGCAAGCCTTTCAATTTAATTATGCTCATTTTTATGTTTTCGCTGCCCTTTGCAGCAGCAATCTGATCTGGCAGGGCATACATTAGAAGGACATTATCATGCGCTCCTTAGGTGATGGAAGAGAGAGTCGATTTCACCTCATCCTTCACAGGGCTCCCCAGGCGTGCAGCTGATGGCCCAGCAGAGCACAGGACTGTCACATTCAATTGTTTAATTATAACCGAGCAAGAGCAAGCAAGTGCCGCTCTGCCACGTCTGCAGAGAATCAACCCAGATGCCTAACCCTGGCAAAAGTAGGGCCGGGCAAGTCATTTACACCCAAAATGAGAGCTACCTTTATGCTGTGCTAGGGATTCTCCTCAGCAGCATCTGTGCCTGTCTGATGCAGAGATATGCATATATAATACCCGCTGTTTTTGTAGGACCTCCACTGATTTGTGCTCCTGTGGAGCAGTTAGAGGGTGCATGAGTTACAGGCTGTGGAGTGGTTTGACGCCAGCCTGCTATACGACCTTGGGGCCTGGATTTCAGAAGCGCCAAGCACCCAGACCACCAGCTGGAGTAGATGGGAACTGGAGTATTGCTCAGCACCACTGCATACATCTCTGCTAGGGATAGTGGTCATCTCTTGCCTCTCCAAGGGCAGTTGGGACACTTGGACTTTCCTATACTGGAGTTTTTGGCTGCTGGTGTAGCTGCATCAGTGACTTGCTTAAGCCAGCTTCAGGCTGCCCTGGGGAACCCACAGTTTAGCCTTTGTTCAGCCCATCTACACTAGGGGTTGCAACAGTTTTGCTAGGTCAGTGTTACTATATTGGCAGCTAAAAACCCCAGTGTAGGCGAGGCCCAAATCAGTGGATGGTTTGACGGCTCTTTTGCGATGAAATGCACAACATAAGTGCCAGGTAGTCGCAAACCCTGCTCCTTATTCCTGGCATCACTGGGGTGCTGCTGAAGTGATAGCCAAAGGAAGACAAACTCCACGTTCGCTTCATCCAGTTAGAAAGCACCGAGAGGGGAAACAACCCATGGGAGCCAGATGGAGCAGAGCCAAAACACTGGGGCGGGGAATGGTTATTCACCAGGTCCTCTTTGAGAGCTGCAACCAAAAGAGCGGGGCAGGGGATATGACACTGCTGACGGTCTCCTCCCCCTTCACAGCTTACTGGGACACCAGGAAAGGAGGACAGCCGGTGGAGCTTTCCACTGTGGAATTCAGCCACAGGGACCCCGTGTATGGAACGATCTGGCTTCAATCCAAAACTGGCACAGACTGTTTCTCCGCTTCTACCGATGGGCAGGTAAAGGCCAAGAGAAAAGGCGGTCTGTGATCTCCTCACGGCCAGCACCTGGCTTGGTATCACTGACAGTCTCTGCTCAGAGGAGAGTTAGTTTGCCCTGGGACACTCCACTGCCCCCCACCCACAGAGAGGAAGCATGCATGTACGTGTGTCCTGCCATTGCACGTCCAGTCATTATTGTGTTTGATTCAAGAGCTACCTGATGCTGGGTAGCATCTCTATACGAGAAAGAAACTCTGGGGATTATGAGAGCGAGCCACTCTGATGTCTCCCATCCCCTCTGCCAGGTCCTGTGGTGGGATATCCGAAAGCTGACCGAGCCCACTGAGACACTGGTGATGGACATCAGCAGGAAAGGAGTCTTGGAGAATGCTTTAGGAGCCATCGCGCTGGAGTTTGAACCAACCATGGTGAGTGCCATGAGCTCACGTGGGAGGCTTTGTCCTGTGGTAGCCATTGTTCCAAAGACCCTGGGTGTCCCAGTTTACTTTCTGCTCAGACTGGGGGTGCTGAGCGAGGCTTGGCAGGCTTGTGCAGAGCTCCTAAGCCAGAAGCATGGTGGCCAGGATGCAATGCTTCAGAGAAGCAGTTCCCAGTGGTAGAATCCTTAGGCACAGGCTTGGGTTACGGTCAAGGGGGTGGGGAGGAGGGAAAGTACATGTCTGTTGTATTAATTTAGATTAAATAAATGGGCCAAAGTTACTGTCTGACATTAACCATTGTTAAATGAGGTCCGGGCTTTGGTATACAGAGGCATTCACTTGCTTAATACCCTGGTAAACACACAGTTAGGAATCCTTTTAACTTTTTATTAAAGATACAGAAAAGAAGGGCAAACAGTGAAAGCCTTTGAAATGTAAAGTGTTAAGTGAGGCTTTCATTTTAAAACAGCCCTTGTTCCCTTTCCCTTAGCTGGAGAGAGTCTTTAAAGGGAAAACCCCTTGTTTGACAGGCTCTTAGATTGTATTAAAGGTGATAATAACTGTCCTTGTGGGGGGAAAGAGAATAAGTGAGTTGAGCTGGGCTGGAGCTGGCATTGTTGCTATTGTTGTTAAAGTTCAGTCCCATTTTCTTTAGAAGGCAAAACATGATAGACATCCAGAAAAGAGCGTGAGTAAAGAACAGCAGAGATAGAAAATGCAGCTTCTGTCTCTGATGTTGACTCCCACTTGCAGTCTCGCACAGAACATGGTCTTATCAGCCACTCCAAGTTATGGCAAACTTTTAGCAACATGGGGCTGTTTAGGGCATTTTGTTTAGCTGCCTTTTTGGTCACAGGCTGTCTGTCAGCAGTGTTGTAAAATATACAGTCTTGGGCTGGCTATGCCAGATTCTTGTTACACAGAAGGAAGGAGGAGAGAGAGAGGAAAGGGAAGAAATTAGGCAGGGAAGGAAAAGGACACATGGAGGTGGGGGAGAGAGAGACACGCGCACCCCAGATGGTGTTTGGGATTCAGCCAGGGGAGGTGGTGGCATCAGCTGGGTCCCTCTCTCTGCCCCGCTCTGGCAAGGACATTTCTCAGGATTAGGATGGTCCAGGGTCCCAAGAGGCAGTGGGGATGGTAGCCATGTTGGTGAAGCTCACTCCATCAGGCAGTCTTTCTCCCAAAGTCTTTCTTCAAGGCAGAATAGCCCATCCTCTCATTTATTTCGGCTCCCAATTAGGCCTCGTTTCCGATGCACCCGCTGTGGTGCACTGATTTCTGGTTCCACGCTTTTCTTGTTTACCCAGCATGATCTTAACACAGTCCCTGAGCTATATCAGGAGGCCTTTGTGTTTGGACTAATTCAGTCTGCCTGCCTCTGCACCTTTCCCCATCAACACTTGTTATTACAGGTTATTGGGACATGTTACAAACTTGCTCACACTTCCAACAGCTGAGCTCACAGCTAGGGTATAACCTCTCTGCAGGGGCTGAAGAGCACGAGTAACAATTTCAGGGCAAACTCTTAGGAACCAGGGCACAAACCCCAAATTGGCTGTGAGTTCTACACTTATTGTTCGCCAACCAATCACCAAGTGCAGACCCCTCAGGTACTATAACAGCCGTATCATGGAGTCACAGACAGTCCCCTGGGGTACGCCGATCTGTCTCACCACCCAAGTCAGCCTGCCTTTGGGATAGATGGTCCCTTACACCAAGAATCACAGCAATATTCAGGCTACTTCCAACCCCAAAGGACCAGTTATTTACCCCAGGTCAGTTGCACCTTAGATCTCACACCAAAGACAACGCTTGTAGCCAATCCTATAATACACTATCTAAAGATTTATTAAATCAGAAAAGGAAACCAGAGAGTTATTTACAAGGTGAAAGTAGGTAAACATAGAAACACAAATGAATTACAGTCTTACATTTCAAAAGATAATAGAAGCTTCTCTAAAGAGCAAGCTCTATGTGTTGTTTAGGGCTAACTCAGTCTACACAGCTGGGGATCTCTTGCTTATGCCTAGAAAAACTTGCCTCCCCAGAGTCCAAGCAGCACAGGGATAATCAGTTCCTCTTCGTTAGGGGGTTTATTCTCTTCTCACTCTTTTGGTTGCAAAGCTCAGCTGATGGATGGAGTCCGAGGCCTGGCTCATCTTCATGAGGAGGAGGCAGAATAACAGCAAAGTCGTTTGTCCTCTTCCTGACAGTATGCAGGGAAATTCCAGCTGCAGCATCCCACGATAGTCTGTCTGGTATTGATGGACTTTTCCTTTTTGGAAGGGCGTAACACCTTCTGTTGAAGATCAACCCGTCACACTAATTAATGTCTCTCTCCTGTCTGGTGATTTACACAGTCACAGAGGTTCACAATACAATTGCTCAAATATTACTTTACAGTATGGGATGCAGCTGCTATAAGTGAGATTAATGCTGGCTGCAAGTCACAAGCATTCAATAAAGACTAAACACTAAACACATTTGTAAAACTCTCATGCCTATTTTAACAATATTAACCCCATTGAGCCAGACAGATGCCTGCTAAGTATTTGTCAGTGTTCAACTGAGACATGGGGACCTTGGCATGAGCTCGCACCTGGCCTGCCAGCGTCTCACAGGGTACATTTGTAGGCCCAGTTAATATGACATCTCATACGGTCCTGGTGTTGTGTAGAGTTCAGCAGGCAAACCAGGTTCTCTACACACTGGTTTATATCTCTCAAACATGTTGATTTCCTGAGCTTCCACACCATTCACATGCTTCATTACCATGCACCACATCTGTCTGCATTCAGAGTAACTCCACTGACTTCCATGGGGTTACTCTGGATTTACATCAGCAGTGCTGAGAGCAGGATGTGGGCCCATATGTGTTGTGTACGAATCTGCTTGAATTTCAGAGAGAGGCTGGCCAGTGCCATAAAGCATCTCGAATGCGGCAGGTGGTAATCTCTGTGCACAGCATGGATTTCCTTCATGGAACCAGCACTTAACAAGCCCGGAATTTATTTATTTTCTCCTGATCTTGGCATACAACTAAAGGTCTCTGTTAGAAGACTGGGGTGATAATGGCGTGAGATTGTTGTTTGTTGCTAAAGTAGAGTATTTGCAGCATACACAGGGCTCTTCCTTGGGCAGCCTTCTGGGTTCTACATTAGTAAGTGTAAATTATCCAGTGTTGTGTTTTGGCTTCCCTTTCCCCACTACCCCTGCAGTTGGTTGCTGCTGAGACAGGAAAAATCAGATCTAGACTCTAAGGGATCTCTAATCTCCAGAGCCGGCAGGGGCCGAGCCGTGATAAGCATCTTCATCTCTGCGTTGCACAGCCGAGCAGTGCTGTAATCGCTGAGAATGGAGGGTTGCGTAGAGCCAGTGGGGGGCTGCAGTTGATAAGTATCCTGCTCTGTGTGCGCAGAAATTGGGATGTTTACAGAGCAATGAGGCCAACAGTGAATGAGAGCTGGGGGGCTGCTTTGACACTGGCTCTGCAGAGCAAACCTCAACTGCATGGAAATGCCTTTGGTTTAAGTGTAGCCCTGAAGACAAAGGAACCGAGCTGTATATGACAATGTGGGGATGGGGAAGGCCTGTTGGATGAGACTCCATCTCTCCAGCAAGGCATCAAGAAATGTAACCTCAGTTTATATACACAGGACATGAAGCTTAGGCAAAAACAACTAGTGCATGTCCAGGGAAAGGTCAGAATTCTAGGCAGTCACTTGATCTTCAGTGGATTCCACACTACTTTCACCAGCTTCGGGAAGCTGGAGTTGGGCTTGTTCCTAGAATGGTGGATCTCACCAACAGCGCTCTAGTTAATAGTGCACCTGCCAGTTTTCAATGCCGGGTTCAGTTCTCCTCTTGATGCACGTTGGAAGAAAGTTTGCCTGCATAACTCCTACGGGCATTACTTGGATCCAGCTACACCCTCGCCTTCCACTCATCTAGAGGAGAACAAACCCCCTTTCTGGGACCTGCCCTTCATGTGGGAGATCCTCTCCCACTGGAAGAGCATCCCCATACCCAGTGATAGTTGCGTTCAACTGTGTTTCCGACCACAGCCGACCAAGTTCATGGTGGGGACGGAACAAGGCATGGTGATCACCTGTAACCGCAAAGCCAAGACACCTGCTGAAAAGATAGTTGGCACATACAGCGGGCACCATGGCCCCATCTACGCCCTGGCAAGGAACCCTTTCTTCCCCAAGAACTTCCTGACAGTCGGGGACTGGACTGCTCGAATCTGGTCTGAGGACTGCAAGGAATCATCCATCATGTGGACAAAGTAGGCAATGGGTTTTGTTTTGCACGTACTGTTTTTGTCCCTGATTTATAAGCACAGGATGGGGTTTCAGAAGCATCTCAGTGATGGAGGAGCACAATTCTCTGTCTATTTTAATGGCACTTCAGTGCCTGAATCACTGGGCTTTGGAAATCCCACCTGCGGCCCCAGTGAGTGGTGGTGGCAGGAAATTGTTCCTCCCCCCACAATTAGGTTTCTTTAGAATTCCCCTTGCAGAGCCACGGAGCTCGAGCCATTGTGAAGACAGAAGCGGAACAGGAGTGAAGGGGCCTGGATTCACTCTTGGTCCGGTTGCATGGCCCAGCCCCAGTATACGTGTGAGGCAGCTGCCTAGCGTGTCTAGCACAGCAATGCATGGCATGTTAAAGCTACGCACTCAGGGAATTCGGCAGTTACTCCAATGTAGCATAGCTCTTTAACGTGGATTCTTCAGCACCAAATGGTGTGAATGAGTTGTTTTAAGAGCTGCTGGATTTCTTGGCAGGTACCACATGGCTTACCTAACAGATGGGTGCTGGAGCACCATCCGGCCAGCTGTCTTCTTCACAAGCAAAATGGACGGGACCCTTGACATCTGGGACTTCCTCTTCAAACAGAACAACCCCTCCCTCAGCGTGAAGGTTGGGTCAGAAACATGTCGTCTTTTACCTTCGTGTCTCGTCTTCGCCCACTGGGTGGGAGCGGAGACCAAGCCGTTGCAGGGATCTGAACCATTGCAGGGATGTGCCAGGTGCTTCGCAGACCAAGGCCAGTGGAAGGCTGCTCCCCAGGCAATGCTTTGAGTTGCCTGTGTTGAGTTCTGCAGCAGGAGTGAGCTAGCAAATGCATCCTGGCCAGCCCGGCCGTGGAGGAAATCAAGTGGCCAGCATAAGCTCTGATGCACACATAGGCACTCACCAATGTCTCACTGTTCGGGCAACCCAAACCTGTAGGAAAGAGATGTTCCTGCCAAGTTTTTGCTGTGTCCATGTTTCCAATGTGCCCATCCTCGTAGTAGCTGGGAGCAGGAGCCAGGCCTCCCACCTCCCCCGTTTAGGCCATGTCACACATAAGTGAAAACATCTTTTAAAAATCCGTTTCAGCGAGTATTAATGACTAGTGCCTGAGGCGCGCATGTCAGTCAGTCCTGACATGCTGAGCCATGTGGCCAGCCTGCCCTGAGACAGGCGCCCTGACACTCTGGTGATGGGCAGCACCGAAGCAGTAAACTCCCCAACTGGTTCTTCCTCCCCAGGTCTGTGACGAGCCTCTCTTCAGCCTGCGTCTGCAGGACAACGGGCGTTTCATTGGCTGCGGCTCTAAGCTGGGCACAGTGACCCTGCTGGAGGTCTCTTCCGGGCTCTGTACCCTGCAGAGGAACGAGAAGAACCTGGCCACGGCGGTGAGTGTCTCGTGCTGCAAGTGGCCACATGGGCCTGGCTGTGCTAGCTGCCACAGGTGAGCTCAGGGTCTGCTTTGAACCTGGATGCTTCCAATCTCCCTCGTAGCGTTCACCAGTAGAAACTTGCGTGATGCAAGCGGTTGGCATGGATTGTCGTTAACGGTCTGGGAGTACATGCACCCACGTTGGGGGTTGCTCTGGGGCACCCAGGTTGTCTATACACAGAAGCTGCACCTGTTTAACTTCAATTGGATTAAAACCAGATTTAGTTAAACCACTGCAAAGCCCTGTGTGGATGCACTTATATCTGTTTAAGTCTGGTTCCGTGGATTTCATTTTGCCCCCAGGCGTAGCTAACCTAGGTTAGAGCGGCCACACAAAACATTGCACCAGTTTAACTAAAATGGGTTTCAAATCAAACCTGCCATTAAACCAGTGCAGTGTTGGGTGTAGTCCAGGCTTTCCGCGGGGTCTCTCTGGCAATAGGATGGTGCAGTGTTAGGAGGGGTTCAGAGGTAGGCAATCCTGGGCCCATGCTGCAAAAAGGGGGGCATTCTGGTGGCATTCCAGGTCTCACTAACATCAGGGACATGGACCCCTGTGTTCTCCAGCCTTCCTCCCTGCGCTGTGCGGGGCTGGCTCTCTCTATTTCCCTGGTGTGTGGAGGAGTTTTAAGGCAAAGACTCACCCCTTCACCCCTGGTGGCAGGTACGAGGGGAAACGCTTGGGTTCCTAAGTAAGTGACCTGATTTCTCCAGGGTGCTGAGGACCCCAGCCAGCGTGGCAGCTCCTCGTCACGGCCCATGGAGTAGGGTTAGGTGCCTAGCTTTAAGCCCCGGAGCTCATCCTGAGGCACCCTGATGCACTTGACCTGTGAAACTGCTTCACAGCAGGGCCCAAAGCACCAGAGACTCCACTTGTGGGGACTCTGCTGTGTGAAGGAGACCTGTGGCTGATCTCTGGATGGAGGGGGATTGCGGGAATGCCGAGGGCATGGCTAATGTGTGCACTGAGCAGTGGGACCTGCTGTGGGGCAGGAGGGGAGCAGCCTGGCGTGCTGTAGGGGCTAACGGCATGGGTTCTTAGGGGTTCTGCTTCAGTTCAGGGGCCAGGATTCCTCCCCACAGCCCTCTCGCTGGTGACCCAGGTCCCCGAGCCCTAGCCCTCTCCTGCCCCCTGTGCCTCTCAGATGTTTGAGCGAGAAGCAAAGCGAGAGAAGATCCTGGAGGCCCGGCACCGGGAGATGCGTCTGAAGGAGCGCACCAAGGCTGAGGGCAAGGAGGAGGACGTGAACGTGGAGACGGAGGAGGAGAAGCCTGAGGAGCTGCTGGCCAGAGTCCAGCAGGAGTTCTTCGAAGTCATCGAAGCAGAGATCAAGAGGAAGGAGCGGGCAGCCAAGCTGTTGAAAGCTCAGGTAGCACAGAGACGAGGTCTGCAAAAGGGATGGGGGGGTGGCTCTCTGACCATGGTGCTGCAGCCTGGAACTGGTGTCTAGGAGGTAGGTCGATGAGCTCGGGGTGGGCGGCACATCACGTGCTGTGAGGAGACCAAATGGAAGTGCAGCTCTGCTCTGCAAGGGCCCTGTGATGGGGGACTTGCTGATTCCAAATCAGGTGGACTCAGTTAAAAGTCAGAGGTGATTTCCCTACCTACCAGTCCTGCTGCATGTCTGAGACCTGTGACATTTATATCAGCCATCAAGCTGCAGGATTCCTGTCTGAGAACATGGCGTTCACCCAGCAGGGCAGGGAGAGCCGAAGGAACAGACTGCTGTTTTAGGCTAATGGTCTGTTTGCCTTTGCTTTCATTTCATTGCAGGGGACCCCGATCCTCTGACAATCACTTGGCTGTCCCCCGTAGGTTTGATGGATGTGAACCTGGCCCTGCGTTGTTCACACCATTGTCACTGAACTTCTGCAGTTATTCACTTAACCTTCCAATACCGGCTTCCCCCCATGAAAGTACAGTCTGTTTGACAGTATCAACTGCACCCTTATGGAGAAGATGATTTCTGACTGACTGCACTTTTGTCCCGTTTACCAATGCGCTGCCTGTTGTGGGGAACTCTGCCGGGCTGGCACAGATTCCACAAGAGTGGGGGGCTGATTTTTATAGAGGTTCTAAGTATTCACTGATAAAAGGCCAAAGCAGCAGAGCTGGGCAGGGAGCTGTTTCAGAGAGAAAGAGGGTCCGTAAGAGCAGGTTTTCCATGCCTGGGGACTTGGAACACAACGATCTCCCTATTCCTTTCAGGAGAAGGAAGTTACAGATGAAAACAAGGATGAGGACCCTTACAAGGTCAGGATACACCCCAGGCTACCCCCCCTTTCCCTGCTGTAGACTGATTCCCCCATTTCTACCCCCCCCAGACTCCTGAAAAGCCCCCACACTGTGGCTTTTTTTCAATGTCCCTCCTTCTCTGAGCACCCCAGCTTGCCAGTCACACACCGATCCCCATGTGAAATTCACACAGGAGCCAAAATTAGGGGCATCCGTGTCCCAGCCGTCTCGCCTGCACCGCAAGAGGGAACCGTGTAACTGGGTCCCCCATGTGGCAGCACCCAGAGTGTAGATGGAGCTCTGGGTGTCTTTGCGAAAGGAGGGGTTTGAAAGGTGTGTATCCTCAGGGGGAGGAGCCCAGCTTTCCTCCTTCCTACCAGCCCCACTCAGGATATGCTGTGGGGCCAGTCCCCTTCCTAAGGACACCAGGCGGGTTTGGCTTGGGAGCTTGCGCCTAACCCTTTATTCTCAGCTGCTGCTTCTTTCCCTATGAACTTTCCCTCTCCCCTTGTACGTGAGCAGCTAACCCTACCTCTCCGTGCAGCCAGCCTTCTTGGGCAGCCCCTTCTAAGGCAGCCATCCCATTCCTTTGGTCAGCTGCCGTGGGGAGGGGGCTTCCTGTCAGCCTCCATCCCGTGCAGTGCTCGGACCCAGGCATCCTGTGTGATGACACGCAGCACAGCTGATGGAGCCAGAAAGAGGAAGCGTGGATTCTTCCCCACTGTCTTGTGAGCCTGCCGAGGTTCAGGAGGGCCAGCTAGTGCAGCTCACTGCACCTATGACGGATCTGGACTCCCCTCCGCTGGCTGGCAGGGCGTTGGGATGCTGTCTATGGGAAGAGACTCTGGGCCCCAGGAGACCCTCCTTGGCCTAACCCCTGTTCTCTCTCTGCAGGAGGAGTGAGCCTGGTGTGTGGATCACAGTTGCACTTAATTTATTCTCGTACCAGTGCAGGTTGTTTCCCCTTTTGATCTTTTCTACAAGATAGACTGGATTAATAAACAGCAGCACTTTTAAGCCATGTCTGGTTGGATCCAATAGATATCAGGGTGGCGGGATCTGTATGTTACAATCCGCTTTGCATCCTGGATCGATGGAAGAGGCGGGCAGCCATTCCCGGGCGCTGCTCTCTGCTTAGAGACTGTGCTGTCTCCCCTACGCAGACCCACAGGCTGAGCAGCAGCAGCTGCTGGAGGTCTGTGCTGTGTTCTGTTCTGCCTGCTCTCCTTCACCCAGCTGCCCACAGGAGCATGGGACGTTCCCCTTCCCCTGAGACAGCAGCTTCCTTATGACATGACAAAAGGCCAAACAGTCCTGGGCAAACACTTGGCTCCTCTCCTTGTCCCACCATGCACCCTGCAGCCACTGCGCCAGCTCATCTGGCCTCGCGATCTAGTCTGTCGAGGTTCCCCTGTGACACTCATCCACACGCGGTCTGCTTGGGTCATGGAACTGATAGGCCTGTTCCAAAGCTGCAGGCACACTTGCGACTCTCCTGCTGACAGTAAAGGGGCCAGGCGCTGGAATACTCCCTGGGGAGGGGTACGAGGATGCACCGTGTGTGTGTGTGTTTGGCTGCAGGCATGCACGTGGCCCGAAGAAGCAGGGACTGAGTGGCTGTGTAGCAGCAGCAGGAAGATGATCATGGCAGAAGCAAAGCCCCCTTGTATAAATACTTGTGCACTGCTTCTGTAATTTGCAGACATGGCTAGAAACATCAGCCAGGGACGGGGGAGACTGCTGCACGTTCATGGCTGTAACTTCAGTCTGATCCGGGCAGGAGCTGCTGCTCGGTAGGGAGAGCTCAGAGCTGCGGAGCTCCCTCGTGTATTGTCCTGCGAAACAGCCTTTCCAGTGTCTTGCAGGTGGGAAAGTGAAAGCAGCTCTCCGAGCCACTCACCCAGCCCGGGAGCTGCAGGAGAGGCTTGTTCAGCTTACTGGGGCTTTTCCGCTGCCTGCACTGCACGTGTTTGTACAAAGCCCCTTCTCCATGTGGCCTCTCAGGCAGGTCAGTGTAGTCATCCCCTTTGTACAGGTGGGGAAACTGAGGCACTGGGTGAGGGAGTGACTCACCCAGAGCCAGGAATAGAACCCAAGAGTTCTGACTGCATCCGGTAGAGCAGGCTCTGTCCCTCAGTAGCCCTGCCCCCTTGAGAGGGGAAATACCTCCTGCCCCATGCCTGTTCCCATCTGAGTGTCGTTTTTGCTATTTCAGTATTTGTTCTCTCTGTCACCATAGCTCCCAGATAGCCCAGTCGTGGAGCAGGACCCAGCGCACTAGGCGCTGAACAAACACAGAACAAAATCAGTCCCTTCCCCAAGGAGCAGACGAGAGGCACCCGATGGAGAAAGACAGATGGGGAGCACAAGGAAACAGTGAGACAGTGTCGGTCAGCATGAGAGGCTGTGGTCTCCACACACCAGCTCCCCAGCTGTCACCCACTGTTCGTTCTAGGCATCATGGCAAAGGAGAGTTTTAAGGAGGGAGCTGAAGGCAGATAATGAGGTCAGTCTTGCAGGTGTTCGCAGGGAGCATCTCCCAAGCACGAGGGCAGCAGAGGAGAAAGCACAAAGGGGCTTGTTTGAAAGCGTATCAAGTGGCAACGGAGGCTAGCCTCAGGAGGCAATCAGAGATCGAGATCGACCTTGCGATGCTGAATGAGAGCTGCTCGGTCGGTGGGAATGGGCTGGGAAGAGCCTTGAAAGTGAAGACTTGTAGTTTGTTTGATGCACTAGAGCAGTGGTTCCCAACCAGGGATACGCGTACCCTGGACGTGCGCAGAGGTCTGCCGGGGGTCCAGCAACTCCTCTAGATAGTTGCCTAGTTTTACAACAGGCTACATAAAAGGCACCAGTGCAGACAGAACAAACTAAAATTTAATACAGACACTGACTTGTTTATACTGGTCCATATACTATACACTGAACTGCCAGGGCAGTGTTTGTATTCCACTGGATTTATTTTATCATTCTCTGGTAGAAAGGAGAAAGTCAGCGATTTGTCAGTAACAGTGCGGCGGTGACGCTTTCGTGTTTTTGTGTCTGATTTTGTAAGCAAGCAGTTTTGAAGTGAGGTGAAACTTGGCATCTGCTAGACAAATCAGATGTCCAAGCGCCAGGCCAGGGATGGGATCGCTGCAGCAGCCTTGTGAAGGGAGACGAGCAGGGAGATGGCACTTGTCGAGGACAGAGGAAAGGAGGCTGTGGAGATTGAGAGGTTGCGAGGCTGGCGAGGGCTCGAGTGCGCGGATGGACAGGGAAAGCTGTATCTCTGCAGAAAGAATCTGCAAGGTCTAGATGGAGACCCTCCCTCCACCAGTTTCTCAGCCATTAGCCCAATCTCCCCAGTGCGGATTCTCCCAACCCCCACCGACCCACGATGAACTCCTCCCCCGGCTTGCCCCTAGCCTGAGGGGAAGGGTCTGGCCCCACAGCTGGGAAAGGAGACAAGGATAGGAAAGGAGAGGAGAGGGTCCTCAACCCTCCCCAGCAAAGCTGTGCGCCCCTAGGGAATATGCTAGTTCCCAGCTCCCAGCCCCCTGGGCCTTAGCTAGTGTCATAGGTAGTGCGGTGCAGGGTAGGTGGCAGCCAGGACTCCTGGGTTCTACACCCAGCTATGCCTCTCATTCTCTGGCCTCGGACATGTCATTTCCCCTCCTTGTGCCTCACTTTCTCGCTCTGTAAAGGGGGGATGATGCTGAGGTTGTGAGGCCGAATTCCGGCTCCAATGCCAGGCACCCTAGAAACCCAACGGCACTTTGGGGCGACTGAGCAGACATGCGAGTGTGCTGCTGGGTGTATGGAACACCCCTGCGATGCAGCCAGCTCTGGGGTGGAACGAGGCGCACAGCAACTCAACCCAACAGTCTGAGGGCAGGAAGTGAAGAGTCCTTTTCCGATGGAGGTTGCCGGGGAAGTTAGGTTAGTAGCATGTAATGTCCAGAGAGAGATTTGGACAGGATCCCTCCTTTTGGTAGACGTGCTCGGGGATCTTTGATTCCTTCAAGAGCCAGGGCCTCAATTTTCCATCAAATCCAGATGCTGCTTGGGAAACCAACCAAGTGATTTTATAGGAAATAAAACTCTCTGCCCAGAAGCCAGGTCGCCTGCTGTCCCACAAACGGGTGATCTAAGCCCCGCAGCCCTGCCCGCATCCGTCTGAGCCTGACACCAGCTTCGCAAATGGCCACCGTTTTCTGCTGAAATAGACACCTTTAACAAAGCGACACCTTTAACAAAGCTGCACATTAATCCTCGGTCACTACCACAGGACACTCTGGTGCCACTCAAATCCCTACAGCGCTTCCTACCGTCTTGGCCGGCTGGGGCTCTGCGTAGGAACAGCTGCTGCCTCTTTCTGCCTCTGAAGCCGCCTGGTACATCTGGATTCCAGCTGGGCTGTGTTCTTCCAATCTATTGATTAAATCCTGGTGATGATTTATAGCATCTTTCCATTCTGTTTCCCCACGTTGCATGGACGCTGGCTGGTGGGGCTCAAAGAAAGGGTGTTAAGTGGTGAATGGGACGTGCACAACGCTCATGTTTACATCTCACGATAAAAGTCTGTCACAGTGCTGGGCCGAGATCTGGGAATGAAACTTAAGAGGCGAGTCCTCCGAGAGAGAGACAGACACACACTGTCCCCATTATCCACACATGCGGTCCCCCTACTCTCACTCTCTCAAGATGTGTCTACACTGTAAGCTTACTCCAGACTCTTACTCCTTTTTTCAGCCCTAAATTGCGTCTACACTGGAAGCTGCTTTGTGACTTTTACACATTTTTTTAGCCCAACCCCCTGTTTGTCCCCGACAGGCCCCAGATAAACCTTCCCCAGCAGTCTTAACCTAGAAGGACCTCAGCTGGGTGAGCAAGCACAGGTTCAAAGCACGCCAAACAACAGGTGTCTCTCTTTAAAGGTGCGTCTACACTGCACCAATCTTGCCGCGGCGTGTGGCATGCACCCGCTGCACCTTCCCCAGCATGGACATCAATAGCTGTGCAGATGGTGAGGCATGGCGTGGGCGAGTGAAGACACGCCTGAACCCTGTGCGTGTGTCCCCTACACGACCAAGCAGTGCCTCCCCTATGGACACTGCTGGTTTCAGCAGTATAGTCTCCCTCTGCCTCCCCGCAGCCGGAGCCTTCGCTGCCGGGAGTTGCTCCCCACCGCAGCGTGGACCCAGCCTGCTGTGCACGCCTCCTACGCGCCGTCACCAGCAGACGCGGCCTGGGTTGCCGCGAGGGTGTAGACACCACACCCGGGCACTTCCCGCAAAGCCACGCTTCGTGCCCCGCGCCACGCTTGCTGGGTAGACGCAGTTCACACGCCCAGCTCCCCTGTGGCAGAGCTGCATGGCACACACGCATGGGCACACACGTGTGGGCACACACGTGTGTGCACACACGTGTGCACGCACACACAGGCATGCGCACACACCCCTATACCTGCCGCCAGAGGGCGAATGAGCGAAGCAGAGCCCAGCCCAGCTGCTTGTGTGCTACTGTGTCAACAGGAGCCTGCTGCGCTGCGGTTGTTGTGTACAGTTTAAAGATCTCCAGGGGAGCCGGCGAGATCCCGCAGGCAGCAAAAGCAGCTGGGCAGAGCTGGGCTGGCCCTCCTGAGTACAGCCCGGTCAGCTGGCGTGAGAGGCAGCCGGGGCTAGAGCTCCCCGAAGGGAGCAGGAATGCTGCACCCCAGCCCTTTGTGGCTCTGTAGCCTCCTGGGGGGCCGAGAGGACAAAAGGCCCTGAGCCCGTGGATGGGAAAGGAGCAGGCAGGGCTGGCGTCGTCCCTGCAGCCCGCCTCCCCCTTTTGTCTCTGGGAGGATTAGCCTAAGTCTCAGGTTGTTTAGGAAACAGCGGATGCAAGTGACAGGTCTGTGGAGGGGGGAGTGGCGGTTGCAGGGTCCTGAGAGCCATGCCTGTGGCAGCTGCTGCTGGCCCTCCCCTCTAGACCCTCTGTGCACCTGCCAGGATCATGAAGGAGGTGAAGGAGTCCAGAGACCAGCAACTCACGGTAAGTTGTTCTTTGCTGTCACTTGATTCGTGCTCAATGTGGGAGGGGGGACTGGCTGCCAACTGTGCCCAGTGTTGCCCGGCGGGCACACATCGGGAGCCCAGGGAAAGTGGGGAATTCCCCTTCGTGCTGCTAGCTAGTACGTGCTGGTTAATGATGCTCGCGTCCTGTCTGGCAGGCTGAAAAGGGCTGGGTGGCTGGTCAGAACGGGAGCAAAAGCTGGAGTTTGGATGTTGGCCTCAGCGCCTGGGAGGCTGGCGCTAGTCACTTGTCTTCCCTTGCCCCCTGCTCAGTCCAGAAATGCCCCGGATCCATTGGGTCAAGTCACTGTAGGTGTCTCGAGCTGCATTCATAGGTAAGGACTGGGCTGCCGCCGGCCCTCTGTCCCCGCGCTCGTTCCTAGCTGGGCAGGTTCTGTGGGACCCTGTAGTAATAGTGCCTTTGTTGATTGAAACGGTACCGGTGTTGTGCACAGTGACTACCTGTGTGTGAGCTGGGGAAAGAGTGTGAGTGTGAGTGACACCCTCTGGAGCTCTTACACACCTGGAATAAAGCCACACAGTGTGCTCAGGAGGTGCTACAGACCTCCACTGTGTAAGCGTGGCGTTGTGCACGTATATGCAAAATAATGTGTGTTTATGTGGCTAATATAGCTTGTGTGTGTACTGCACTCATAGAGATTAGTTTGTGAGTGAATTAAAGTACTAGCTATAGCCTCCTAGGGACTGGATTTTGCAGCCTTTGTCCTCCCACAGTTTGCTGTCATGAATTGCAGCAGCATTAGACACACACAAACCAAATGATGATGCCAATATTTTTAAAGGAACTGTTTACTGGAGAGCAGTAAAACTGTCTTCTAAAAAATCCCAGCGCCCCTCCAGATTTCCTGTTTTACTTGCAGAACAGAAGGAGAAAGATACTGCAGATCAAAGAATGTAAGAGGAACAATAAGAGCCCAGTCCCAGATGATACAGGGTGTTCTCAACTTCCTTTGGGGGTGACTTGTGGGATCTGAGGCTAAGCAGTGCACATTGTAAAGTGTGCATTGGATGCTGTATTGTGTGTGTGTGTGTGTGTGTGAGCAGCAAATGCTGGGTGTGCAGTGTGTAGGCATGCATGCCCTGGAGTGTAATCTCCCATAGTGCATAATGATATGGCTGGACTTTTATCTCAGTGCTCTTATGACCAGCCCCAGCCCCGTCTTGGTTTATATGTTGCCACCAGCCCCTCTGTGGGGAGAAAAGGAGTACTTGTGGCACCCTAGAGACTAACCAATTTATTTGAGCATGAGCTTTCGTGAGCTACAGCTCACTTCATCGGATGCATGCCGTGGAAACTGCAGCAGACTTTATTTATACACAGAGAATATGAAAAAATACCTCCTCCCACCCCACTGTCCTGCTGGTAATAGCTTATCTAAAGTGATCATCAGGTGGGCCATTTCCAGCACAAATCCAGGTTTTCTCACCCTCCACCCCCCCACACAAATTCACTCTCCTGCTGGTGATAGCCCATCCAAAGTGACAACTCTTTACACAAACGTTGCACGGTTAAGTTGGAGTGTCTCTGAGTAAGCATGTCAGTGTCAATAACCCACGGGTCCATTTGCACTGCGGGGTTGTGGTGGTGCCCAATAGCAGGGCTCAGGTGACGCTCCCCACACAATTCCCACGTGTGCCGATGTGCGTTAGTGCCTGGAAAGATGCTATTTTTTGATCTGTTCATGCAAGAGATTCTGGTCAGCGACGTGGCCCACCGATCGTGCTCTCACACTGATGCTTCATTAACAATAGACAATTGTTAAGTACCCAACTCAACTTGGCCTTTGCTAGGAAGCCAGGCCTGGTGTGGCGGATGACACTCACGTCTGCAGTATTTGCCACAAATGAGTCCAAAGACCTCGGTTTTTGGCTCTAGCTACTCTAGTTTCCACTGCGGGTTGGGTTCTGCCAGTTTTACAGTGGGGACCCTATCGAGTGGTTTGGGATGAGAGATCAGTAGAAGTTGGGGTTGGAGACTGCCAAATTGCAGAGGAGTCTGGGAAACTGTAGTTGCTCATGCGAGAGAGTTCAAGGTAAGTTGGAAGCAGAGCGCTCTGGGAAGGTACAAGTTAGCAAGGCCGGGCCCCAGGGTTGGGTTCCTGGTTTGTGAGTTGTTCAGGCGGGGCTTCTAATGCGGGTGGTTGAGAATCATGAATGTTTTATTGAAATGCTTTGGTGCTGGCAGTATGGGAAGGATGCTGGTGCAGATGTTCACATAAATAAAGTGGAAAGAGACAATGCAGCAGTGGTTGAGGCAGAATGAGGGTAAAGGACAGGTTCATATTAATTGGTAATATCATGAAGTAGAAAAGGAGCAGTTTTGCTAAATTGCAAGTGAGCGCCAATTAACATCCAAAGGATCCGGTGAGGCTCTGGGATTATAAGACTACTTCATGCTGTTGTCAGTGGACTGACCCCATTGATGGACTATTTCATCGCTGAGGGGACGTATAACTGTAGAATTATGTACGTGGAAATCGCATGCCTGTTTGCTTCGTGGATCATTTTTTAAAATAAATTTGGTTCTCATTCCTGATGGTTCTCTACGACCTAAATGTTCTGTGACAGCCCTAGAGGCTCAGACTTGAAAGCTAAATTGGATTTTATTGCATCTTTAGCTTTAACAACTTAATATTAATTGGGAACGTTTCAACACGAAGGATACAAAAGGTTACAAATCCGGGTGTGTTGCCACTGGGTGATGAAGATCTTGGCACGGTGTCCTGGCATACAGACAGCACCTGGCAGATTGCGGGCATGTCCAGGGCTCAGATACCCACTACTACTTGAATCAACCCCCTCCCAACTATAGGGCTTCTCCTCTCCTCAGTGCCCATGCCTCACCCCCATTAGCACCAGTGATGAGTGGGGGCCCGGAACTGAGCCCTATGTCTCATGCCACTTGGCTTTGGACTTTCTGGGTGGGACTCAGCCTCTTCCCAAGCTCCTGGTCCCTTTGTAGGGAATCTGACCATTATAGAGACTCTCCCCCAGACAGGCAGGGGACCCGCTCAGCAGTGAAACGCACACGGGGTAAATGAAGCGAAGGAGGGAATCGATGCCACAGTGTCTGGGGAGCTGGTCAGGACATGGCTGCACCAGGAATCACTAACCGTCAGCACCTTTGCTCTCACAGACCAAACCTTTTTGCAAATCCCAAGCACACCTTGGGCTGATGGATCAAACAGCTAGCGGGGAGCTTCGCTAATTGATGGATTTGATAAGCTTTTTGCAACCCAGACCTTCCAGTGGCTGGCCAGGCAGTGAAGAGCGCAGGGTTAGAGGGAGGGAAAAGCCCCTCTGTGGACAGACTGACTGAAGCTGTCCCTTTAAACTTGGCGACAGGGCTGGTGTGAGCAGCCGGAGTCACCGATCTGCTCCCAGCGGTGTTTTCTTTCTTCCAGGAAAAAGCTGTAATTGCTGTGTGCTGGCCATCAGGGAGGGCGCGCCAGGGCCTCTGCTCTGCCTCGCTAGAGAGGCGATGCCTCAGGTGAGGCGTGGGGTGGGGAATGGACATCGGCAGCAAAGTCGCTGTGCCAGGTGGGCGGCTCGCACTCAGCCGGCTTCCTAAGTGCTAGGAACTTTCGGAGACACACTGTGCCAGGCCGGCACCATGGCTCACGTGCAGGTGCCGATTCCCCGTCTCTTCTGCCTTCCCTCCACCGGCTCCGTTCGCCGCACACGTCTCTCACCCTCTCTTCACTCTCTTCCAGGTGGCCCTTCGGATCCGGCCGATCAGCATGGTGGAGCTGGAGGAAGGAGCTACTCTCATAGCTCATAAAGTGGATGAACAGGTATGGCAGGAGCATTCCGGGCAGGTGGGGGAGCGGGGGGCTTGCTGGCATCGTGTGTCGGGGACATTGCCCTGGCAGATCCAAGTTCAAATCCTGCCTCAGGTCTGAGTAAGTGGCTGTGATTTTGGTGCATTTTGTCAAAGCCCCTGGTGTCCAGTCTAAAGAGAAATGAACCTAGAAGATAGTCTGGCTGGGGGGCTGCGGGTCAGGATTCAGGGGCATTGGCAGAGCTGTGTGTGGAGAGCACAGGGCTGGGCTAGCAAGGAGGGGCCTGCAAGCTAAGAATGAGGTGCATTGGCAGAGCAGCATACAGAGGAAGCTCACGCTGCCCTTTCCCGCATTAGGTGTGACTGGAAGATACTTGGCAGTGTCTCTCTTGAAATCCTCTTGCTAACGGTTGTGATGGGAGACGGGAATGCAACAAGCAAAATCTTTCAGGAGCTCTTTCACTCGATGCCCTTTAAAAAGCAAAGAGCAAGGTGTTTTCATGCCGTTACGCTTGGTTTCCTTTGTTACTAGTTTTGCATTGAATCTCCTGCTTCCCAAGGTGCTAGGGAAGTGCAGGTAGAATTGTACCTACTGGGCCCATGTGCCCACAAAGAGCGCTCCTGCTGGACATCTGAATACGGCTGGCCTGCCCAGCGCTCCAGCAGCCCCCCACCCTCCAAGGGGCCACTGGCCTTAATTAGGGGTCATTCTGACTTTCCTTTAAATCCAAACCAGCCAGTAAAACCTCCTCCCTTGGGACTGCCCAAGAAGAAGCGTTTTTAAATGTACACTGGGGACCCTTGCCCCTGGACGTGGCAAATGGCCTTGGAGCGCTACAATTCCTGTTCCTGGTTGTCAGTTGCAGCCTGTCTCAATTCCCGCTTGTGCTCTCCGCAGCTCGCTGAGCAGGAGCGTGGGTGGAAGGGCGGCCGCGTGGATGAGGCACTGGGCTGGGATTCTGGAGATGGGAGCCTGATTCACTACATCTCTCTGGGCCCCAATTCCCAATCTGCGAAAGTGGGGCCGTTATCTTGGGCACACCACAGTCTGGTTAGTGCGTGAGTTCTTCAGGGCCTGGCCTGTCTCTCGCTGTGTTCGTGCCACGCCCAGCACCGCAGGTTGCGGGGGTCCCGCCGCGTGGGAATGCAGGATGCAAAAGATAAAAGAAAATGTCCCGTGCTAGGTTCAGTGAGGATTCTGTCAAACATGGCCAATCACTCACCCGGATCAGTCACACTTCAGATCAGCCTCGTGCCCCCAGAAGCTACTGGGCCAAAAACTAAACACTGAAAGGGAGGGAAAACGAAACCCAACCCCAGAATCAATCCCTACCTTCCCTGGGTGATGGGAGTGGCGGGGAGCCAGCTGAGAAAAGGTTAACAGCTGCATCATCCTTTCCCCCTTCTTAAGCCTTGCGCGTCCTTAGGAGGTAGCTCTGGGTAGCCCACCCATTGCTCTCAGGAGACCAAGTTTTCTCTGGTTTGTTGTTGTAGGGTTCATCCTTAACACCAGGTTGCCCCTGCTGGTTTGTTGTAGGTCGCATGTGAGCCCCAGGCCTGCCCGTGCTGGTTTGTTAATGGAGGGTTGCTCATGGCACTGAAGCAGCTCTTTAGTGTAAGAAACCCTTGGAACAAACTCCACGGATCTGGCCCTTGGCTGAGGGTCTGGGCCTGTCAACCTTTCCCATGTCCCCTGGTGCTGTCTGATCCTGGCTGCCTTTGGCTTCCCCTTGCCCCATTCCATTATCGATCCAGCTCTATTAACAGCTGCTAAGCACTGGGGCCGGGTTACCGCTCGCCAGCCCCAGTGCGGCCTCCCGTCAGGAGGAAATTCAGCTGTGTTTATTAGCAGGATATTTTTACCCCCCTCGAGCAATTACGGGAAGAGCAGGCAGCCGTGAGCTCAGGGCTGTCTCTGCCATCTGTGTTTACCTGGGCTGAGCGCGGCATTAGGGGTCTCTCCAGGCAGATGGTAACTGGCTGGGCTGGAAGCAGGGCTGCTTCTAGGCAGCTGGGCCCAGGGTCACCAGGTGGGGAGCAGGGCAGACCAGGCCCCCTTCAAGGTGCAGCCGGATTGCGGGGGAGGGGGAGAGCTGTCTGTTAGAGCCAGGAGGGGACAATGGAAGTTCTGTTTCACAAAGGATTTGGGGTTTTGACATCTGCCTTCGCTCTGTATTGGAGCAAAGCCCCGAAAATTCCCAGAGCCTCTGTGAAGGGAAATTCCTTTGGGGGCAATTGAAACGTTTGGGTTTGACAAAATAGCAGCGGTTTGTTTGGCTTTTGGCTTCGCTTCAAAAGCGCACCGTTGTATTCCCTTCTGCAATCCGTTTCTGAAGGAAAAGGTCTTTTCAGCGTGAAATGCTTTGTTCCAAAAAGGCTGCAACGGGACATTTCAAAACTCCCCCCCACCCACCCACCCTCCCATCTGACGTAAAATGAAATTCCAGCAAAATCAACCTGATGACCCAAGCGCGATGGAACATGGCTCCATTGGCATTTCCCCTCCAGCTCTGTGGGCTAGGTGTGTTTCCAGTGCCTGAGTGAGGGCCTGGCTGATGCCCAGACTGTGGGGACAGGGAAGGGGCGGTTACACAGCTTGCAGGGTAGGTTGGCAGGCTCCAGACAAGCAGGTTTTGGAGGTAATGCCCCACTGAGACGCAAGGGCTGTCCCCACTCTAAGCGACTGCCTTAGGCTCCCTGCAGACGTCACTGCGTCCGTTACACCCTGGTCATGTTTTCACAGGGCAAAACACTTCCTGTGGTGCCGCTGTATCTGGCAGCCGGCGCCCTCAGCCTTATCCAGGCCCTGGGTGTCAGATGAGAATGGGGCGGAAGGCGGGTGCCTTGGGGCTGTGCTGGGAGGAGCGTGTTCCCTGTCACACTCATGCCATCCCCAGGCCCATCTTCCCCTCTAGGCTTCCTGCCTTTCTTTTCCCCTTCCTTCATTCCCTTCTTTGCAGCAATGGGAAGTAGGAATGTCCCCCAAGGCTTCTCCTCCCCCAGCTCCCAGGGCACGGCAGGATGACTCCCTATTGCCCAAGCCCTCCGGCTCTCACGTATGGAATCCTCCGGACAGTGTCCGGTCTGTTCACACACGCACGGCGCACCGGGCAGGACGGGGTGGGGTCTGTCCTAGACAGCCCCAGAGCTGGAAGAGTGGCGAGTTGTCCAGGGCTGGAACAGCAGGGGCTGTTGCAGGTGAGAAAAAGAGGTGACCTGGCATGTTAGGGCCCCACATCCCGGGGTGTTGGCAGAGCTAAGCTGGGGGAGCCCAGGCCTGGGATAGGAGGGGCTGCGGCGGGTCTGGGATCAAGGTGCCAGCACAACTGAGTTCACTAGCAAGGAGGAAAAAGTGCCCCGCGCTGACCTCCAAGGAGTGCCCGCCCCTTGCTTCGCTGGGACGCCAAATCCACAGCCTCCCCTTCTGGGCCTCTTTGGCTGATTTTCTTCCCCTGGTAAAACCGAGAACAAAGTCCAGGCTGAGGGAAGCAGCCATCCTATGCCCGTGGCTCTGCCCACACCATGCAGGGGATCAGGGTGGGGGTGTTGGCCACTCCTGTGTGTGTGTGTGTGGGGCTGGGAGGTCAGATGCAAGCCGCTTCTCTGGGTTGCCTTGGATAGCAGGTGCACCCTCCCCCGGGTGCACAGGGGCCGGCATGGGCCCCACTCCGGCCAGGGGACAATGCTATCTCAGACGTGCACTGGCATGGTTTATCAGAGCACCTAGTCGCCGTGGCAACAAGTGTGCGCAGGCAGGGGGGTCAACGCTGGCTCCAAGCAATAGAACTGGAGACAAACCCAGCTGCCACGTCAGGGCCTGGGGGCGGGGGGGGCGGGGATGCCAGGGACTGGGGGTGTGGACAGGATCTCTCCTGATCCCAGCATGGGGGCTACGGGGGCTTCCTTGCAGCCTGTCTGATCCTGCCCCCGCCGTTCCCATGGTGTCAGGGATCTCTCCTGCCCAGCTCTGCCCTTGCTAGTTCCTGCGTGAGCCCATTCTGTTGGGGAGCCAGTGTTCGGGGCCCTGTCGCTGCCCTGTGCTGGAGGGCAGGGGGCGGGTAGCAGGACTTCTTTCTGATCTTCGTATTTATGATGCAAACATGGATTTTATCTAACAAAAACCAGTGCCAGCCGCCCTGGGAGACCCTACAATAACAAACCAGCACGTGTAGCCCTGCCCTTATGGCGACCCTTCCATAACAAACCAGTGTGCATAGCTCTTCCCTTAGGGGAGACCCTACAATAACAAACCAGCACGTGTAGCCCTGCCCTTATGGGAGACCCTACAATAACAAACCAGTGTGCATAGCTCTTCCCTTAGGGGAGACCCTACGATAACAAACCAGTGTGCGTAGCTCTTCCCTTAGGGGAGACCCTACAATAACAAACCAACATGTGTAGCCCTGCCCTTATGGCGACCGTTCCATAACAAATCAGTGTGCATAGCTCTTCCCTTAGGGGAGACCCTACAATAACAAACCAGCACGTGTAGCCCTGCCTTTATGGGAGACCCTACAATACCAAAGCAGAGCAGGACGCTACGGGAGCCCTAGAAGTACTTGCGATAGAAGGAATGCTGGGGGTGGGGGGCTGGGGTGGGGTGGGAAGTGATGTTAACCCCTGTCTGGCGACCTGGCACCCAGTAAGTGGCTCTGGCACAGGGGATGCCTGCAGCCCGGTGCGGGAGGCACTCTGTTTCTCACCTAGGAGATGCTGGCAAGGATGGAAGTAGGGCAGGTGAGGTGGAGTGACGCCACCCCGCTCCCCCCAGGATAGGGTTACACACAGACACCAGCCTGCCAGCCCGGCACTCAGGAAAGGTCAAAATCTGCATTGAAATGGGAGACAGGGAGAAGACAGTGGGGGGGGGGGCAGCTCTGTGCTGGCTGTGTCCCGTCCCCCCCTTCGTATCCTCAGGGAAGGGGCTGGAAGAAGTGTCTATGGAAGGGCCGAGGACTGGTGGGGAGGGAGCAGCTATGGGCCAGGAGGTCTGGTGGATCCAGCCCTTCCCTC